GCCAGCCCGGTCCCCGGCGCGGCCCCGGCCCGGCGCTCTCCGCTCCAGCTGCCCTCTGCTGTCCTCGGGCCCGCGCCATGGCGAGCCTGTGGCCGTCCAGCTCGGGCCCCGTCACTCCCAGCCCGACACCGCCACGGCCACTGCTGCTGTTGCTGGCGGTGGCCGCGAGTGTCCTGCCCGGCGCCAGGGGGACCTGCCCTGAGCGAGCGCTGGAACGGCGAGAGGAGGAGGCGAATGTAGTGCTCACGGGCACAGTGGAGGAGATCCTCAACGTGGACCCGGTGCAGCATACGTACTCTTGCAAGGTGGGCTTTCAATTCCCATGGACCCCCGACCCTTCTGCGGCTTTCTGATCCTCCAGCCCCCCTTGAAGCCCAGGCCTGGCCAACCTGGCCCCTTCGCCCCGGGCCCTCCCCTGCGATACGGGCCGCCTGCTGGGACCCCCGCCCCCAGGTCGTGGGAACATGTGCCCAGGCGCTCCGCAGGCTCCGCTCTGGCTCCCTTGGAGACCGAGGAGCCCCCATGTGGGGCGCCGGTCCCGGAAAACTCGTGAACGCCGGAGAGAAAGTTCCTGCGGTGCCGGGGCAGTCCCACCCTACGGTGCCTAGACTCAGGAGCCAGTCATGTTTGTCCCCCACACCTACTCCAAACCCAATCCCCTATCAGAAGCAAATGAATTCTCCCTCTAGGACTCATGGCTGCCGCACTCCTCCCCACCAGCCAAGACATGGAATAGGGCCAAGGGGAGGTGAGGGTCCTTGCTAGGGTGGGGGTAGGGACTGGACTTATGGTCACGGTCACCCCCTCCCCCAAGAGACTTTTACCAGAGGAGATAAGGGATGGTCAGGAGAGGGATGCACAGCCTGATAGGGTGGTGCAGTGTTTGATTGTGGGAGCAAGAAGAGAGGTGGGGAGCCCTTGATAAGTCTTGTGTGTGATGGGTAGGCCCAGGCTGAGGCTCCTTCAGCCACAAACACAGTGGGGTTTGCCTTGCTTTTTTCCTCAGATATGGGGCCCCTGGATCTGTTATGGTGGGCTCTTCCCCACAATGTGCTCCAGTGCAAGGCTGGATACCCCAACTCCCCCTTGCCCCTCACTAGCCCAATAACCACCTCCTGGGACCAGACCAGAAATCAGATCAGCCCTCCTGCATGCGGATGGGGAGGGTGGCAATGGTGCTCTCAGACAGGGCCCATGCAGGCTACAGCTGGGATCTCTGCGGGCCCCCATCCCCTCCCCTCCCCTCCCGCCTCGACCTGTGGGCACACTGCCAAGTCCCTGCAGGATTTTCCCAGCTTCCTCCCTGCAGCTCCTGGGTGTGGCTGGGGGGGGCAGTGAAAGCCACTCAGCCCCTCCCCAGTCTGGGCTATCCGAAAGCCTTTCAGAATACACTGTGTGTCTGTCTCTAGGGGTGAAGGGGGGGGGGAGACAAGGTCTCACCTGGGTGAACCGTGGAGGGAGCCCTATGGATGCTGAAGTCCCAAGCAGGTGGACAGTCCTCCCACTGCCTCTTGTCCCCCATTTCAAAAGCTCCCACAGCTACAAGCTTACCCCACTCCAGCCCGTACCGCTTGCTCTTAAGGAAGGGGCTTTCCTCTGAAACCTTCTCTAGGGAGTGCCTGTTCTGAAGAGGCTGCCCGGGCAGCCTACCACACACACCCCCAGGCCAGGGCTGTCAGGACCAAGTGGGAGGCAGTTTGTCAGAGCAGGTGCCCTTGGGGCCTGAGGAGTGAGAAGGAGGGTGGGGCACCCTGTGGAGCTGCCCGAACTTGATTTTGTGGTTCCCTGATGCCCTGACTGCACACGCAGTTGGAGTCCAATATGGGAAGAGGAGGGCTTCCACCTCCTGAGGGGAGGTTCTCAGAGCCCTCCCAAAGCCTCTAATCCCAAGCCTGTCCCCCTGAAGCCTCTGCCCCTGGCTCTGCCCACAGTTGGTGTCAAGTGCTAGGTAGGGAGACTGGGGGAAAGAGGAAGGCAGATATCCTGGATCGGTGGGCTCCTTTCCAATACCAGACTGAGCAGAGGTGGATGGATGTATGTTATTGGGGGGTCTGGAGTGGCTGGGATCTGTTACACCTGGCGGGGTCAGGAGCTACCTCCTGAGGGCGGGTGTGTATTCTCAGCACCATATCCTGGTGTATGAGATCCTTGGAGTCTTCAGTGGGAATGTGGGTGGCTAACCCAAGTCTCGGCATGACTGCACAGGGCTGGACTTTACATAGGACATCTGGCCAGAGCAACCAAGGCCAAGACAGGGAGAAGTCACTGCCTCTGGCTTCTATGGGCCCCGCCCCCCAGTGGGAAAGAACTACTGACACCTGTCCGTCCCCTCTGTCTCCAGGTTCGCGTCTGGCGGTACCTGAAGGGCAAAGATATTGTGATCCAGGAGAGCCTGCTGGATGGTGGCAACAAGGTGGTGATTGGTGGCTTTGGAGACCCTCTCATCTGTGACAACCAGGTGTCCACGGGGGACACCAGGATCTTCTTTGTGAACCCTGCACCTCCGTATCTGTGGCCAGCCCACAAGAATGAGCTGATGCTTAACTCCAGCCTCATGCGAATCACCCTGCGGAACCTGGAGGAGGTGGAACATTGTGTGGAAGGTGCGAGGGGTCATATTGTGGGGACAACAGAGGTCAGATGGTGGCAGATGGGTGGCTGGCTGCGGGCAGAGGTTGTCAGCTCGGAGGAAGTGATTGAGAGCTAGGGCCTTGTGATGCTCTGGGGGCAGAGAGGGACTGTGCTGGAGCACACGGCATTCTGCAGTGATGTCTCTCCTGGCTTCTGGCTGTGGTTTGGTCATCTCAGGTCAGCAGCCTCAAGCATTGATGTGAGCACCCCCACCCTGCTGTCTTTTGTCTTGGAGCAGAAAGAGGCCCAGCCCTGCAGAGGGACAAGCATCCTCTGTGTTGCCTCCCCCTAGCTCTGTTCCTCCCCACCTCCCTTTTGAGGGGCCCTTTTCCAGGGAAGAGGGTGGGACCAGGTGAATGAGCACCAGCTGTTGATGTTCCCCGCAGAAGCCTAAACATCTGTCTAGACCGGGCCCAGATGTACTGCAAACCCTGCTGAGGGTGGGGCCTGGGGATGGAGAGGGCCTTCCCCTCATTGATTGTGCCAGGGCTTCGTTTCTGGGAAGGGGCAGCTCTGTGGGCTATGGGTAGGTTTGGGACCCAAACACAGATGAAGAACCTTTTCTAGTCATTAGTCCCCAGAAGCTGGTTCTGAATAGCCCAAGGGTGTCCCCTCCCCCACTCAACCTCTGGGAAATGGGACTCACGTGATAGACCTCTCTCACCCCAGGAGAGTCCCAGTTGGGGGCTGAGATCCTTGGCTGGGAAACAAGGCAGGGGGGGTATAGGAACTGCTTGTCGCCCCCACATCCTGTCTGTCCCCACTTGTCTGCCTGGGAAAGGATGTACCAGGAGGAGGGGTGGTCCAGAGAGGACACTTCCTCCCAGGGTGATGGGAAGGGTCTTTGGCTTCCTGTCCTGGGGAAGGTAGCCCCCCTCCATTGCTCTCTTGGTCGGGCCAAGGTCTTCGATCTGACTTCCTGCTTTGGTGGTATTTGTGGGTGCTGAGTGAGTACTCAGTTCTTAGGCTCCCAGCTCATGCTGGGGTGGGGGGCTGCTCTATAGGGAGAGGATGGCCATGAAGGAGGGGGTGTCTCTTCTAGCCTGTTCTCAGCTGCCTCCTAGGCCCAGGCTGGAAAGAGTTTCCTGGGGTTCAGGGGCCTGTCCATCCTATACTCGGTCTCAGCCTGGCTCTGCTATGGGGACCACTGAGACATATGCTGTGCTCTGGAAGCTTCTGAGCTTAGCAAGTGGCTGGGGTGACAGAGCAGGGACCATTGGGGGAAGGGAGGCAGCAGAGATGAGACTGCAGATAGGGAGGATGGTACGGGAGTAGAAAAGTCTTCACTGTTGATGTCTGGTTGGGAGAGAGGGCGCTGCAAGGGTTCTGGAGCCCAGGATGAGGTTTTCCTTGGTGGGGAATAGTCAGGGTAGGGACTGGCGATGAGAGCTCCCTGCTCCTCCAGAGCAAGAGGGCAAATAATTAATTCTTTTTGTGGCTGGGCGGTCAGCCTGAGGGTCTGTGACTCAGTAACTGAGTACTGGCCAGGGGGTCAGTTGGCATGTGACGGGAGGCCACTTCAGGCAAAACACGGCTCAGTATTTGCCAAGCTGGCTTGACCCACATTGGGCAGAGGGATGCCCTGGCTGGGCAGAGGAACAGTTCTGGCTGGGCAGAGGGACAGCTGGCAAGGAATGAGACCCCTGCCCCAGCCCAAAGCTCTCCATAAGCCAAGGCTGCTGGGAAGGGGTGACCTCGAACTGAATCTGGAAGGGTCTCTGATGAGCTGAAGTGTTGGGTGCCTGTGTCAGTAAGGTCTTGCTGCAGAGAGCATGGGCCAGGGCCCAAGAATGGGATCCACTGAGGGAGCCTGGGTTACCCTATGAAACATGGCGGGGGGGGTCGGGGGAACGGCTTCAGAAACCCTGAGCGGGAACTGATTATCCATCTCTGCTTTGGAAGAAGACCAGGGTGCCTAGGATGGGCTTAGGTTCCAGGTACATCACAGAGCCCTAGGAACAGGATGTTTTGGAGTTAAGGCCAAGTCTGGAGAAAGTACAATTGGTTTATGCCCAGCCCACCCATGCAGGCTGCCTAGGAGTGGAGGAGAGCCTACCTCCTATTCTCTAGGTGATAAGACAGCCAACCCCACCCCAGGTACTGGGGCTGGGCCCACCTGGGGGGGACAGATAGGACAGGATTTGGCCAAGCTGACCGGTCCCAACCCGGCTCCTACCACATTCTGTTCCCACAGGCCTGTAAACTACCTCACCCCAGAGGGTGCCCCCACTGGTAGCTTCCTACCTCTGGTCTGAAGAGGATCTGCCCTGAGACTAACAGTTCTTCCTTGTGGGAGAATGTTTCCCCCAAGCATCCCCACAGGGAAGCACAGAACACAGGGGGCCTCCCAAGGGCACCTCATTTCTCAGGTGGCTACGGTGTGCCCCCCCCCCCAAGCCAGTCTACTCCAAAGCCTCAGGGGGGAAAGCTGGGCCCATGGCCACATCTAGGCCAAGACCTCAGCCACTGTGCTCAGAGACTGCTATCCGCCCTCTCCGATGCTTGACCCCTCAGCTTCCTTCCTCTGCTACCCACCGCTCCTCCATGGCTGGGCCTATAGCCTGCTCTGCAGAAGGGATACCTCCTCGGAGGGGTGTCCTGCCTGGACCCCTGGAGAGGGTCTCTCAGAAGGGAGAGGATGGAGACTTCCCTCTTCAGGGCACCATGCTGCCCTGTCTCCCCACCTCCCCGCTCTGATGGCCAGGGCTTGGTTCCTAAGAGGTGTGATTCCCCACCCAGCTCCAGGAGGCACCTACCTGACTCTCAGCTCCACTGGAGACTGGCTTCCTTCCCTTCCTCAGTTTCTCCCCTGGTCTGCTGGGTCCCCAGGCCTCACACAGGCAAAGCCCCTCCCCCAGCTCCCTCCCCCGGTTCCTCCTCCCTCTCCTGGCTTGGGGAGCCACATTCCTGACATAACTGAGACAGGTATGTGCCCCTCCCTCGGCTGCCACCTTTGGGCAGGGTGGGGGAGGGCTCTGGACTGGAAGGAGACCCCTAGCCCCCCCCCCCTTTTGTCAGAGGCAGCCAGGGCCACTGTCCACACTCCCCTGCAGCCACCTTCTGTTCTGGGCACTGCTCACAGATCCCAGCCTGCCTCCTCTCCCACGCTCACCTCATGAAGGCAGGTCCTGGGGCTCCCCCAAAGCTCCCAGGAAGGTCTCTGAGGCTTGAGCCCTCCCTCCCCATCAAGGACTAGGTGTAGAGAAAGGAAGTGTTGTCTGTTCTCTGCCAGTGCCTTGCTCAGGGACAGGGCTGGAGTGAGTCTGGCCCTGGTTCAGCCGGGCTATGCCCAGCCCTAAAGTTGGGGGTCCTGGCAAGCAGATTCCAGTCTGGAGAGCCCTCCCTTCCTCCCTGTATGGGGGACTGTGCTCCAGGTTCTGGGAACAGTGAGAGCTGTGGGAAGGCAGGCCATTTGGGAGAGCAGTTTGGGCTTAGGCCTGGAAAGTAGGCCCATCTGGGCCAGGTCCCTCTAGGCCTCCCAGCAGCCTGGTGGGCTGTGAGCAGGTGTGGGCAGTGGCAGCCCCACATGGGTGTCAGGAAGTTCTGGGATAGGGAGGCACCCCGTTGTTCATGCACTTGGTTCTGCCCCCCCCCCCTTTCCTACTGAGGCCTAGGTGGAGTGGATGGGTGCTTCCCACAGTTCTTGACTCCCTCCTGGCCCCTTCCTCACCAAGTTTGGGTCTTGGCCCTCAGGACCCCTCCCTGCCCTTCCCCAGCCTGCAGACCCTGGAAGAGGCAGGTCTGGGCGAGAGGCTGGCTTGCTTGGAATCTCCCTTGTGAGGCTAGGGGGAGGGGTCTGCCCAGGTGGGGAGCCCTAGGGCCTTCTCCCTCAGTTGGGGGTTCCTGGTAGGAAGTGGGATCAGGCACTCCCCACGTACAGGAATGGACTTGCCAGCTCTTCTGTCCTGAGAGGCACTGGGGTAGCCCCAGTGTGAAGCCAGGGGGTACACTGGTGGCCAGGGTGGGTGTGGACCTCACTTCCCTTGGGTGACACCCCCCACCCCTTTAGACAGGGAAAAGAAGGAGGGACCAAGCTAGTGGAAATCGCTCTGGGCTTTTTCCAGACTCCCTGCCTGACCCCCATCCTATGCTGGGGTGGGGGCACCTCCATTGTCCTTTACTGTTGGGCCAATGGAAAACTGCCCCACCCCCTGCACAGCCAGTGCTGGGTTGGGTTGAGGCTGGACTCTGTGGGACCAGCCCTTAGAGTATCCACTGAGGGAGATCCGTACCAGGGTCCAGCCTAGGGTCATTCTGGCTGCCCCTCTTTCCTGGAGGATTAACCCCCAAACCTTTGAGAATCAAAGCCTTTCTATCAGCGCAGCAGGAAGGCTGAACAGTTGTAAAACAGGCTGTCCCTTTGTCCCTTGCCACCACCTGTGGGAACCTGGCTGCTCAATTCAGAGGCCATGGGCTCTCCCCCTCCTACTCTGGGTCCTGATTATCTGCGTGGGTAGGGACCCCACAGGAATAGTTGCCAGGCTTGATAGGACTGAGAACGACGCCCCTTCCTGTCCCGGACCCCTGTTGGGATGGAGAAACGGCTGGTTCTGGCTCTGGGGACTCCTAGGGCTGGGGGTTGGCCTCGCATAGGTACTACCCCCGCCCAAGTACCACCCACCTCGGGACAGCTGGAAGGCTCACAGGGTGGGGCCGATGTTGGAGGTGCTGCCCACCTCGGTTCAGGGAGGGGACACTTTCAAGTCCCTAGTGAGGCAGGACTGGCAGCTGGGCTGAGGGGATAAGAGGCCGGAGATAGCGCGTCCAGTGGGGAGGGAAGCAAGCTCCGCCTCCAAGGACCTCCCCTCAGCACAGATCCTGAGAACTTCCTCTGAGGAAGGCCCCCTGCCAAGGGCTGCTTACAGCTGGGACCCTGGGAAGGGGGAACCCGGCCCCTCCCAGCTCCCAGCCCAGCCCCCAGATTCTCCCCCACAGAGTGGAGGCGTGGGAGAGGAGGAGCTCTGTACTCAAA